TTAATTGCCAGCTAGATTGTGTTTTCCAGGAAGTCTGTGATTAGAGGACAAGGGTGCTCTTCCTTATAAAGGTCAGAGGCTGCTGTCTCCAGAGGCTGTCGATAAAATGATGAGAACTGTCTCACGGATTTTAACTAAAAACCTCAGCAGATGCTGTGCTGCTATTTACTTGGGGGTGAGGGTGGGCAGTCCCCCGTGACCTATCTCTTCCCACTTCTGTTTCCAAAGGCCAGCCAATTGTTGGGGAGTGGATTTAGTTGCTGCTGCTGCCCACACAAGAGGTTTATAGCTCGTCGTGTTTTAGGAGGAATCTGTGTTTTTAACTCTTGGTGCCTGTGGATTTCAACGAGCTGCACTCTGATGTCACAGCAGCACCAAGCTGGCTTGCTGCCAGGCCCAATAAAGGTTTAGCAATAGGATTGCATCTAATGAGACACACTGAAATTCCTTTGCAGCTGGATTTTGTTGAGGAGACACTTCAGGTGCTACCAGCAAACACATCTTTGCGTTTTCTGGTCCATTGTTCCTGCTGCAGCTGGAGAGCATGGGCTACTCTTTCTTACAGGTCAGGAGGACAGCAGTGGCTAATGTTGGCCACAGTTTGATCCTCATCTTTACTTCTAGGGCACCTGTCACCCTGGATCCTTGCCAATGGTCTCTCTAAGCTAAAACAGTGCTGCTCATTTCCAAGTGCTGGGAGAACAGCATCTTGTTTTCCAGCCATTTATGGCAGCTCGCTCCAATCCTTTGTGGGGTCTGGACGAAGACTGACAGGGGCCAAAGGAGTAAATGTCATGAGACTTGAGCTTTCTGTTGAAAGCTGAGATAGAGATATTTTACATCCCGTGGTATATGTAGCCGGATTTAGGCTCCTTGGTATTTCCAGCAGAATGGCATTTCAGAACTGGGAGCTGAACTCTGACAGCAGCGTTGTCCCCAGTTGCTGTCAACTTCACCCCAGACAGAGAGCTGCTGTTTTTCTTGAGCAGCTGCTGCTGTGGAGCAGAGTACTGAAAAGTGATCGTCTCTGAAATAATTTGAAATGGACAGATAGAGCCAGCCATCTGAACTTCACTCAAGAATTAATCTAATCACTGTGTAATATATTCTTACTGGTTTATCCTACCTAAAGGGCAAAGTTAACTACATTAAGCACAATTCGGAGCATTTGATTTCCTTCAGACTTGACTTTGGATACAACTAACTATCTGTGTATGAATTTCGAGGTTTCTGAGTGTCTCTAATCCAGTTTGTAGTGACATTAGCGTTAGATAACCATAGCAAGGCCTTTATCTGAAAGGAAACCTGCATTCTTCAGGTCACACAAGGATGAAAAAAGCTTGTTCTGGTCACTGTTGCTTTCTGGAAATTTGGGAACAGGGAACAATTTAATATGTTGTTGCTTTGTTGTCCAAGTGAGTAGCTTCTCTAGCAGTTACAATACTTATCAGATGGTGTGGTTGCACTTCAGAGCTTAAATTTGGATTCAGATAAAATGAGACTATATTGCATAGGACTAGGACACAAAAAATGTCTGTGTTGACTACCCATAGTTACTTCAAACCATTCATCTCATCTAAACCAAGTGTGAATTGCTACTCATTCAGTTTGTCTGTCTTAGAAAGGGATTGGAAGAGTAAGGAGGTTGCAATTAATATCTAATGGAAGAGTCTAATTTTGCCAGGATTTGATCAGAAAATGCAACAGAATGGAATTCACAATACTGTTTGTTTGGGTGTGTTTTTTTTTTTTTTTTTTTTTTTTTTTGTCATGGCTGCCTGTCAGAGAAAGAAGGGAAGATAGATGAGCCTTAATGTGAACTCAGCTGAAGGTGCTTGAAGGTCACAGGATGTGACCCCACAGACTGCAGTGATGCTGAAGATCAGCTCTATGGCTGGTCTGCTCCTACGAGAGCCAAAATCCTCCTAATTCAAATATAATCACTGACACAAATGCCAGTTTGTTGGGACATCCCATGATGCAAACTGTGGGTGTTTTCAGTACTCACTGTATGTGAGATCTGTTATAAGATGTATGTAGGTATCTATCTGTATGCCTCTTGGAAGTCCCATATTAAGTATATACACTAGGAAGACTTTGAAGAATGAATTTTCTTATATAAATAAAGTGAGAGACCAGTACTGCAGTTAGTCTTTACACATACACACTTTTCTAAATTATCTTATGCCCATAATACTCCAAGGGACCAGTCAGATGGAGGGAACTATTTGCTGCAGCCATGAGAGTAATCCAGCTAGATGATGGTGGCACAGGTATGGTTAAAGAGTGCTTTGCTCAGAATGAGATGAGAAACAGAATTGCATTTCTAACAATTGACCTTTGCTGATCATTGTGAATTGGAGTTGGGGATATTCTATAACTAAAATTTTCCAGTAGCATTTCTGTCATCTCGAAATCTTCCTCTGTTTTTTATATCTATTTATACCTCTTCTCTTATGCTTTATTAATGCCTTTTACATTTGAACAGTCTGCTGTTCCTTTATGTGGCTTGACAACTGCCAATAGCCCTGTTGAAATATTTTGCTTTTAGCTCTGCTAATGGCGACTTTGCCTGTGTTTTCTTGCTCCTGTTATGTAATGGAAGTATCTGCAGTCCCCGACATGTGTGTTTGGTCTCTTTCCACCCACCCATACTTATCACAGGTTGATGCTGTGTTCCACCAAAGTCTTTTAGCAATTAGGTTTTGTTGTTTCTCAGGAGATGTCATTCAGTGTTTATTGGTGTTACCTCTTCATTAGCTGCAGTCATTCCTTTTTCTTTTTTCATTTCCTTTTTTCTTTGCTGATTATATCCTTGTGCCATTTCCCACGCTGAAGCTGTATTTCAGGCATTCAGCTGTTTTGTCTTCATTAGGTACATAAGGCTGCTAGGTAAAGTCATGGATTATTCTTCTTCTCGGAGGGTCAAATGAAAGAATGTTATTTGAATAAAAGAAGAAATAAAACATCTGTGACAGTAAAGATTAAAAAAAATGGGCAGAATGTAGTATTTGCTAGCTGATTTCTTCCCTCTCATAGGTGTATTTACAGTTTGCTTTGGGGGTTTATTAGTCTTTGAGTCTCTCTAAGTTCAAGAGAATGCATTTTACACCCTTAAAAAGTGACATTAAAACCCAGTTTTCAACCTAAGTAATAAAGGATAGAATTTTATTCTCCTCTCTAGCAACTTTACTATCTCAGGATTTGTAAACTGCTTTCTAAGCCATAGTAAATTAGATCCCAGCAGTACTGGGCCTCTGTAGATAAATACAGTAGCCATTATACCTTGATATAGTCCTATTGCCTAGGAAAATACTACTGTTATTGAAAAGGAATTTGCTCAGGGCAAGAAGGTATCCATTACTTCCTGAATAACTCACTAACATTGTTAACCTTCCTTTGCACAAACAAGCCAGGAGGAGTCCCTTTCTGCAGGATGATATTACTCTCCATCTGTAGTCCCCTTTATCATCAACAGACCTAAACCAAAGTTTCAGCATTTTGATAAATGCCTCTGTGGTCCAGGCAAGAGAGCTATGCCCTGTCTTCCCCTTTCCCTACCATTTCTTTATCTTCATACCCTTTCTTAATTTCTGGGATGTTGGTGTGCTGATGAATCGCTGATGCAGTACAGCCACTTGACATGATAAACACAGAGAAAAAAAAAAAAACGTGTAACGATGCTGCAGCTCGATTGATGAGGTTTTGGAAGCAGTTTCCTTTCTGCTACCTGAAGTCTCACACCTTGAATTGGATGCCATCAATTCAGCATCCTTTGGTATAGCTTCCTTTGTGGACTAAGAGATGAGTTGTTGATGTAGGAGCTGAGTTGATTTTTTTTTTTTTAACTTATGACTTCCTCTTCAGAATCCACAGCCAAAAAAATACCCTATTTAGCACTGACAAGTCGAGGGCACAGAGAATCTTTCTGCCCTTTATCAGTTCAACTGGATATTGTACTCCTGATTTGACACTAAAAGCAGGCTTTTGTTGGAATTTGTTTCTGTGTAACAGCTTTCTGCTACTTCATAGAAAAAAACTAAAGGGAGATCAAACTTTTTTCCCTTTATGAACTTGTTAAGGCAGTTATTACCTAACCAAACTTTAAAAAAGATATATTTAAATACCAGGGTTGGAGCTTACTCTATTTCCCTCTTACAAGTATCTAAATATATTTGCTATATTCCAGTTCAGTGTGGACTTCAGACTAGATCTATATGTGACAGAATGCAGAAGATAGAGCCTGAAAATCAAGCCTAGGGTGGCAACACAGCAACAGAGAAGCTTTTTCTTCTGTAGATGTTTGGCTTGCTAGATTCTCCTCGGAAGGTATTGGAGGATTGCAGACTTCACTCCTGTCCTCCTGTCCACCACAGTAAGGCTGACAGGTCTAATTCATGGAAATTCCCACTTGGCTGCCTAAACTCATGTTTGCTGTATCCTGGGAGTGCCTGCATAGTCATTCTGTTTCTGCAGATGAATGCCCAAACTGGAGCTGTGAGAGTTTCTTGCATCTAAGTGCTTGCATGCTCTACAGTGGTTAACTTTGAATTCTCTGGCTTCACAATTTAGTTTTGTTCATGTAGGTGTTCTTGATTTTAATCTAAAAGTGTGTTTTTGGGAACATGTTTTTCGTGAAGTACCTTTCCTAGTTACTGAGCATTTTTCTCTTGAAGAATTGACAATGCCTTCCAGAATAGTGCTCTTGAGCACAGTTGTGAGGAGAGGAAAATCCCAAACAAACTCGAAAAAGCTTTTCTTGGTATCAATTTCTTTTTTTTTTTTTCTTATGTACTTGAATGATAAGCCTATGAATTGAGATCTCCTGAAGTTTATTTAAGGACTAAAATTTAATTACTGTGATAAGTCAGTAGCAGGACAGTCCTTAAAAATTATTGGGTATGCTTGCATGTCAGGGTGTTTAATTGTTTCTGGCTTTCTGCTTTTTGTGGAAGATAAACTAACCCTTGATCGATTGCTTTTAAAAAAGTAGTCTCTTTTCCGAAGCCTCTCACTGTACCACGCATACAGAAGAGAAAACAGGGAATCCAGTTTTCCAGTAATGAAATGGGTTGCTCTATAACAAAATGTTGTGGGTTTTTTTTTTCTTATAATATGCCAATGATTGGCTTATTTGCTTGGCAAAACATCTAAATGGAATTGCAGTATTTTTCTGGATGATTTATTGTATGCACTTTGTATTCTGGCTTCCTTTCATAAACAGGATAATGCAGAGTGAGGCTTCCTGTAGTCCTTTTGGGTGCTGAGAGGGAAATCTACCTTGTGGCTCAGAAATTCTGATAATCAGAGATAATCCAGGATCCTGGGCAGAGGCAGTGTCAAAAATGAGCAGTAGTCTGCCGCCAGGGTAGTCTCCAGCGGCACCCAAAGGAGCAAACCAACCTCCAAGAAGATCCTCTTATCTCCATAGGAACTGCATGTGTGCCCAGGGCTGCCTTCTGTGCCTCTCCCCAGATAGCTTCCAGCCCCATCTCTAATCTTCTTTCAAAAATCCAAAACAAACCCAAATAAAAATCAATCAAACCAAATAACTCCCCCCCCAAGACACAAGGCATGCCCAAACCCACGACTAGCAGAGGTCTGTTTCTCCTGTTCTTTTCCTGAGACCTTCTGCTGAAGTCAGATAAGCCATGGAAAGCAGCCACTGAATTGGAGAAACTTCCCTCTGGGTGCTGTAGAGCATGTTGCTGTTCCAATCTCCAATCAGATGTTTTGTAGATGGTTCTTGAAATGTTTGCCATGGTAGGGCAATGATTGAATCTTCATCCTCAGTCTGAATCTAGCTTCTGCCTAAAATGTGGACACTCAGTGTGGCTTTTGCCTGTGAGGAACTGCTTTCCTTCAGTTTGAAATTAAATTTCTCTCTTCAACCTGCTGCAATCTCATGCCTTCAGTGGTAGTGCTGCTTTCCTGACTCAGTCTTCTGGTATGACAGAGGCTCGCCAAACTCAGTGAGCAGCACCAAACCTTTAATAATAATGAGCTGCAAGAAACGCCTCCATTTGCAGTTGCCATTGTGTCACGGTTGTACTTTGGGCCTTATGGCAGGTTTAATGTTAGTGCTGTAGTTAGGGCTTATTAGAGCTCCAAGTGCAGGTGATGCAGTTCAAAGCAGACTGTGCACTTTGCCAAGTGTCCACATTTAAATATGTTCACAGCTGTAGTATGGTTAAAACCCACTTGCTGTCTGGTTGCATCCCTTTGGTTTGCAAGCTTGAGCTAGATAAGGGAGCTGTTTGTTGGGTAGCTGTTGGAACATCTTCCTTAGTTACTGCTGGAATGGAAGGCATTTTGTTATCACAGAATGCAACAGCTGACTTTTCTCCAAATATAGAACAGAAATACATATTGAATGCTTTGGCTCTTTCTTCAGTATTGGGAATGTTTCTACCTTTTCCCCATAGCAGCAGATCAATGCAGTTGCTGTGCAGTTTCTATTCTTGAGAAGCTTTAAAAACACATTATCATCTTCCTGCTCTGACTATGGATTTTACCTCCTGTCGCTAGGATTCCCTTGTAAATTTTATTTTTTCCCTTTCTAATTTCCTTTCTATTTTCTTCTCTCAGCTTTTCTTTTTTTTTCCACTCACTAGAATATATACAAGTGTTCAAGTGCGGGGATGTGACAGGGAAGCCCAATAAGCAATCTGTCTGTCTAGGAAAAATATGCCACTGTACCTCTGGTCCCACTCAAGTGCTGAGTATGTATGTAGGTGCATTGGTTTGGTCTCTATTCTCCTTACACATATCCAGATGCAATTGGCACAATCATTTTAACTAAGCTACCGCTAATTTATATTTTTACAATTGATTGCTCTTTTTCTGTCAAGATGGAATCTAATATGGACTTACTCATTTTCAATGTAACACTTCTTGAACTAAGAAAATGTTTTCTCCAATTTACCGATCTGGAGGGTGTTCTTTGACACCAGCCCTGCTATGCCTCCTGCAAGTGTTGTTGCATTATAAATTCCAGATGATCAGATGGGATTTTCTATCTGTTATAAAGAGGTGCTCATCTAGCCACTCATCCTGTGTGCTATCTAATATGATTTCAGTAGTGTATAGTAGACACACCAGTTAATACCCTGTCTTGAGCTTTATCTGCTAGAATGTTAATCCATGAGCATTTTAAAATCATATGCCTCTGAGACACAATCAGCTAAAAACAGATAACATCTGCTTGAAACTGTGCTGTGCCCATTCTCTGTTTGCCCATTCAGATCTTTCCTAAATTGGCTAGAACTTTCTGTAAATTATTTTTTAAGCATTTGTCTTACTTGAAAGTATTTGATATACCTGCAGTATCTTTGGGTTGAGTTCATGCACATAACTGAGTAGTCACAATAATTCTTATATGTAATTAAGGCTTTTGGTACTGGTAGAAACAGGTAGATTTTTTTTTTTCATTTTCCCCAGTGTCTCTTATTTTTCCAAATACCTTTATACAATATTAAATAGGTGGTTACTTGCTCCCTTTTTTCTCTTTCCCCTTTTATTATTTGCTAATACTTTCCTTACTTCTCTAATAAGCATTCAAGTCTTTGCAGACTGCTTTCTTCCCCTTTCACTTTGATTTACACAACAGCCTCCCATCAGAGAAGAGGGACCAATGTTTCACTAGGCTACAGCTCTCCGAACATTTTTCTCATAACTTGGTATATATTAATTTAAAAATATTTTTCTTTCTACTTTTAATCCTTTTTGAGACATGAAAGATCCTTAAGAGATAATGTGTGTTTCCACACACAGCAGCCTTTACAAGCTCCCTGACACTTTCCTGTAAACCACTGCTGTTAGGATTATGGTAAAGCATTTGCAGAGGATCCTAGCTGCCTGTGTCAGAAGTCTGTCTTAGTCATATCTGTCTTTGTTTTTCTGGAGTAAGATGCATTGACATATTGTTTTCCTCTTGCTCTTTAGAGAATATTTTGTGGTTTTTTAGAATAAATTTTTCAGAAAGAAATGTCTTATATGGATACTTTTTATATGCCAGCTAATGTAGTTGAAAAATCTGAAAAAAAGCAAAATGAAGACCTAAATCGTGTAATTGTTCCTCCCCCTCACTCCCTCAATTGTATCAGCCAAGCCAAATCTTCTTCTTGCTTGTAATCTGAAGCTAAAATGGCACTGCTACTAGTTCTGCAACTGTGGATAGTTGTGGTCATGTGCTTCACGTCTTATGTTGGTTTGAACCTCTGGGCAGCAGCAGCTCTCTTGAAGCAGGGTGGTGGTGCCTCTCGAGTCCTCCCACAGCCTCATTTCCTGACCCACTGGGTACTCCTCTCACTGCTTGAGAGTATTGGGTGTTGAGAAACCTGCTCTTGCACTTCATCAAAAAGGGCTCCTGCTCCAGGACGAAGTATTACATCATCAGAAGTCTGCTGCTCTCCATAATCTTCCCGTGTGCCTTCCATGGAGAGGTGGTGGCCTTGTAGCAACAGTGGCAAATCAATTTTGAGGTAGTATTTTAGATGATTCAATGAGGTTTCATGGCTCTTGTTTTGTTTTGGAGGTTGAAAGCGACCTGCACAATGTGGAATTGCTGGGATGATTTATAACAAGCCTCAGTTGTTGAAATTAACAAATAGGCTTATTCTGAAAGTTTTTATTTTTTTTCCTGAAAGTCGCCTAAAGGATGAGAGCTTGGGGAAGGAGGAGAAGAATTTTTTCCCTTTTTTTGCTTTTCCTGTGTTTTTAATTAGGGAAGTTTTTAATAACGCTTCAGCTTAATTTTAAGATTCATCCTTTTCAAGTCTTTTATAGGAATACATATGAAGTAGGATTTATTTGAGTTTGCTCACCTGCTCCACGTGTCTTCCCCCTTTTTCCCCTGCACACACAGAATATCAGCTTTCATTAAAATGACCATAGGATCATTTCTGAATTGTGATTCTGGATCAGAAGAAAACCTTGATGGCATTTTCAAGGTTATCTGGTGCAGAAATGTTGCTTCAGTCTGCAGACTGGCTGAACTAGTCGCTGCTGCTGGTGTGACCCTGCTTCAGAGATGTTAACAGAAGTGTCTAATCGTGATGCAAATGTCAGCATTGCTGCTGTTTTGCTTCTCTCAGAGCCTTTGAGAACAGGTTTGTGGATCACATGCTTCACTCTTTGGAGACTGTCCCTAGGCTTTGGTGCAGTAAGTGATTTTTAGGAACGCTGCTTTTCACCCTCTCAGCCTGACCCATTGTGCAAAAAGTGAGAGCAGATGGGAGACCTGAGCAATGCCATTATGGAACAACCCTGTGCAATCCCAGCTTTCTGGAGGAACTCTTGCTGCTTTCCCTGAGCAGCAGGGCTTGGGTTTTCTGGGCTGGAAAGTCAAGCGTCATCTTGCTTGTCTTCAACTAGCAGATCCCTATGGCTGCTGTATCCTGGTGATGGGAATAAGCCTTTTCTCCAGGTTTCCATGGGGGACTGCAGTGACAGTCATGTATTTGTTTCCATAGAGCCCAGCGGCATCCCATGTGCTCAGGCCTGTTCCTGGGACAGGCCTGCCCTGGGGTGTGTCTGTGGCTTGCTGAAGGCGAGGGGAGCCTGAGGAGTGCAGAGCACATCTGAGGTGTCTGGGCTGGCTGTGACAGGAGGCCCATCCATTTGTCACCCCATGGAGACAGGGCCTGACTCATGGGGAACCTGACGTGTGCTTTGTTCCAAGCCCCCTGGATTGCATTTAAGTAATCTTAAGAGGTGATATGTGGAATAGCACCATTTTTATATCTTTAGCTGAGATAAAAATACTACTTCAAAACTCATTTCCAAGGAGACCACTGCTTCAATGAAAACACTTTTTTTTTCCTTTTCTTAAAATTTCTTTTTTTTCCCTCTGTTTGAGATGAGGCCATATTTAACTTAGCATTTGGAGCCCGGCAAGGAAGTTAATTCTTCATCTTGAGGCGGGAAGGGAAGGGGCCAGAAACCCGTTTTCCTAGTTTGGAAGAGCGGTTTAACTGATTAATGAGATGCGAAGTGACACTCATCCAGTGGCATCGGGCACGGGGGATGGGACGAGGATGTGCTCGTGCCGGGAAGGGCTTGCTGGTGCTTGTCGAGGGAACTGGGGCGAGTGTCTTTGCTCAGCGCGCCTTTCCCGGGGCTGCCGCCCCACCGGCAGAGCTCTGCAGTCCTGAAATTGGAGCAGGCTGGGAGCGCAAGGCTGTGAGGGCACTTGCCCCAGTCAGACTTGGGGGGAAGCTGCCTCTAGGCAAGTGGGAACCCGATACACTCTGAGGAACCGGAGCCAGCTGCTGCTTACCCTTTAGCAATATGCAAGTCTGTAAAATACTCATGTGGAGCCACCTGCGAAAGCAGATTAACCCCTTTATCTGTGTCGCTTCTTTTCCCCAGCTCACGCCGGCAGTGGTTGTTCTTCCTGAGCGAGCTCCAGGGCTGGCACACACGGATTTTTTTCTTAGCTTCAGGATCCCCGTAGTTATGCTCCTTGATGCCTGTCAGTGGTTAATGATTAAATACAGCTAGTGAATTGTGACCGAATTTGGGGTGTTGTCTAAAGGGGTGGACGAAGGTGTTCAGAACCTGCCTGTGGCACCCTGCGTGGCTCCTGCATCTACGGATGATTCCTGGAGGAGCAATTAGTGGCGGGGGGGAATGGGTCCTCACCGCCAGTGACCTTGGAGGACAAGGTTTTGCTCCGCTTCATTCGCGGCTGCAGTTCCCTTTTCTAAAGTAAGCGCTCTCCAGCACTGGGATCCGGGCTGCATTTATTACTAACCCCACCCATCCCTGCCTCTTGCAAGAATCTTGTGAGGCCGAGATTGTGTTTTTAGAAGCAGAATGACAGAGAGAAATTCCCTGGAGGCGAATGCAGAGTGTGTGCTGTGCACGCCAGTACAGACACACGGGGCTGGGAACTCCCAGGGAGAGATTAAGTGCGAGAGAGGAGCGCAGAGCAGCCAGAGCTGGAGGAGGGGGGTGGAGGAGGCGAGACGCTTTCTAAGCCTCAAACTGAGCCGTTCGGATTTTTTTTCTTTAAGAAAAAAAACCAAAAAACACCCTCGACCAACCTCGGTCTCGACAGTCTTACTGAAGTGCCTCTTGTGTTGCCGGATCATCTCACTGCTGGGTTTGAAGGACCCAGGCTAACATGATGTACCTCTGGGTGAGTAGGAAGCGTGTGTGAGGGCTTGCACACTTTGCACATATAAGGAATGGAAAGCTGAAGGACTCTGCACTAACGTGAGCGGCCTTCACTGTTGGACTTAGCTCTCTGCAGCCTCTACTCACTGTGGGCTAGTTTTCCCTTTTAAAAAACAGTATTTTGAGCAAGTACTATTAACTGGGTATCAAGCAGGCTTTTCCTGTGGTTATAAGTGCCTCTGGAGAGAGCAGTTTTGGGCAGGTGCCTTGGAGACAAAATTTTTGGTATAATGTTGCTCACTGTCTGCCAACTGAGAGACCTGTGTGTGTGTATATATATATTTTTGTGCATAAAGCTGTTCCCATGTGCCTCTGCTTTATGGGATTTTTAGTGGTACTGAGAGACATCCCAGGTAGTGAAGGAGTGTTGCTGAAAGGGATCTGTAAGTCTCTGAAGGCTAGGAGAGGAGCAGGAAGGGTTTAGATGGCTTTGTAGTTTGGGACTTTGAGGATGGGGGGAGAAGCTGGATGCAAGGTTGTTTTTCCAGAAGTGGCACAGTTACTCAAGTTTCTGGTGGAGTATGGAAAATAATGTCAGGAAAAAACACGTGTAAAGCGTTACACAGATCCAGCAAGCAAAGTGATAGCTTATGCAAAGGCATATATATTTTCAGCCTGAGCAAGGACTGGAATTTCCACTGGAGCAGTCAGCTCTTAGACTGCTCAGTCATCAACGTGTAGTTTTCTCTGCTCCTGGGCACCCTTGAGATCAGCAGTTTGCTTTTGGGTTTCCTTACCCAGATATGTGAGGTAAAGAATACGTGGTTCCCAAGTTTTTGGTTTGATTTGTTTTTTTTAAAAAAACACCCTTATTTGTAACTCATAACGAGAGGACTCTCTCTGCCTCTGGCTGCTTTGAGTCCAGCTCCCCATCACTCCCGGGAACAAACACTGGTTTATTTTAGCAACAAAGCAAGCCTTAGAACCCAGGCAGAAGGATTTGACTTCCCTCCTTTGCACATACACACACTATCTTTGTTGCAGGGTAACCTGATTCTGCACAGGGGTATGCACACTTGCCTGGTTTTGTCCAGCAGGCCCTGCTGGCAGGCACGTCCACCTTTGGCTGCTCAGCCCCTTGCCACAGCCTGCTGTGTGGGACCCCCGCTTGGGGTGCTGGTTTTTAGGGAGAAAGGTTGGGCAGGACCCATGGCTCAGCTAAGATTTGTGCTTCGTTTGGTGGGTGGGGTGAGAGTAGAAGTAATTCAGCCAATGCTGCTGCTGATCTTAGATAAGGAATAAACAATGGAGATGTTCCTTACTCTGCTGAAATGGAGAGGATGAGTGTGGGAGAAGAGGAGAGCTGCTCTGCTGTCTCACCTCCTGTGCTGACGGGTTGTGTGAGCACTCTAGTATAAAATAGAGGTGTTAACCTGCCTAAAGACCAGCTGTGGCCCAAAACATGAAGCACTGACCTGGATTCTTAAAAGAGGGCTGAGTTTTGGGATGCTTGCCAATGGATGAACCCCATGAGCTGCTACTTCATCTTGCACCCTCAACTTCAGGCAGCACTACCACTGTGTTTGCATTGCAGTTTAACTTCAGAGAAGTGGGGAAAATAAATATTAAATGCTTGAATAGCTGAAGGGGTTTTAAAGGCATCATCTGGGCACTCTGCCATGATAATTAAAAAAAAATAGTGAATTTTTGCTATCTAGATACAATCTTTACCTTTTCAGTACAGGTTACACTATTACTTTGGGGGAATCTTCTCCTCCTTGGACCTTTCAGGGATCTTTTCCTCTGTGCCCATTTATGTTTCTGCTTTAAGCTCTTTTTATCCTGACAGGCTACATAACCTTTAGTGGTGAGAACAAGGAGCCTCAACTGACAGATCTGGTTTGATGTGGGGTTTGTTGTGCCTCGGCTGTGCCAGTTTCTTGCTTCCCTGCTCACAGGTTCCCCTCTGCCTCTCATTCTCTTCTTGTTGCCTGTGCTATATTTTTTTCTATTCTGTGCCTCTTGTCCTTGGAATGTCAGGACTTCAGTAGATGCATGGAGATTTGTACTGAGTCATTCCTTAATTCAATGCATGAAGCTACATTAATGCAATGTTAAATTTGAGGTTTTAAATATGCAAGTCCTGAAATCCAGAATTAAGATTCCCACAGCAACCGTAATGTTTCTCCCCCAGCCCCCCACCCCCCAGGGGTGCATGTTACAGAATTATCTTCTTTGAAGGGGTTGTGCAATATTGAGTGCTGTCAGGTTTGACAAATAGTAAAATAGAAGGGAGAATGCACCTTCCTCTGCAGCTGTGGTGTGGCATGGATACTGAACCCAGACATACAGGCTACCTGCAACATTACAGTCCCTGATTATAATGCTGTCTCTGGAATGAAGTGGTGGTGTAGCTTGGTTCAGTCTGACATTCCTGCTTGCTGAACTGTATTCCCTCGGGTGAAACTTGTTGCAGGATACTCTTAAATATTTGAGAGCCTTGTAGACTGCAGGATATTGTGGGCTGTGGAGAGCTAGAGAGTAGGAAACTTAAAATATCTGTTATGATGACCTAATGCTTGGCATTGTGAGCAAAGTGAAGGCAGCAGACTTATCTGTGCCATTAAATACCAAGAGAGACTGTTTATCTTAACACTTTCGTTGTGTAGGATGCAGTTGTATAAAGTCTTTCTGAGGCAGAGATGGTATGAGTGTCTCTCTGATGTTGCAAACCGTGTATTGTCAGTGTTGCAACTCAAGGTGGGTATTTGCCTTACGTATAGGAGGTGCATATAGGAGTTCTGTTTTTGCAGAAAAGTGTTTTGTTTGTGTGGGACCATCTAACTCTAGTTTTGTTGCTTCTCACACTCATCCCCATTTGTGTGCAGCTGTCGGGGCTCTTGAATTGCTCAAGAGAGCTCTAGTCATCAGTTCTCTAAATGGGACATGGGTAATTTGGGCTATGAAGTCAAGAAGGTCTTTGTGCTGAGGGCGATCAGGAATGACAACGTGGGGGCTGGTGTTGTGCTGGTGACAGCCAAGAGCAGAGTGGTTTGAAGGTGGGAAAAGCATTCAACCCTTTACCGAGTAAGAAAGACCGAGTTTTTTCATTTATGAGCAGATGAATCTTTGTGTACTGTGAGTCATGAGATATAATCTAGAGTCATTTCTTTCCAAGTATTTTCTAAAGAGCGTGATGTGTTCTGAGAGTTGCATGTATGAATGTTGCCTTGTTGGAGGTCTGTTGTTACAAGAAAGGTTGAAAGGAAGGGGCAGCAGCCCTATGAAGCAATTTAACAATCATCCTTCTCCTGTGCTCAAAGACAGCTGAAACTATCAAAGGCAGGAGGGACCAAGGTAAGGGAGGTCCATGCTGTTGCTAGGCTTCTGGTAGGAAAGCACTGGATTCATTGCTCTGTTTATAGAGGGTATGGATAATTTCCTCATTTCTCGCAGTCATGTACAGAGTACCTGCTGAGTGTTTGTTAGAGGGCTGGCTGCCTATTGCAATGAGAAATTATTTCTTTCTCTAGAGCCCTATGAAAGTGAAGGTCTTACCTGGACCCGCTAATTACCATACAGCAAGAATAGTGCTAGTAAGCTTGCCAAGCTCATTTTGAATTTTTTTGTTAGTTTTCTTCCTGACCTGTCTTTTACTTGCCTTTTTGTCACTTAAAAGTCTCTCTTTGCATTCACTGGAATAATTTTTCCCTCTAGGCTCCGAGCTCATCAGCTTTACCACCAAGGGATTGGAAACCCAACTCTGCTGCCAAACTTGAGTCTTAGCAACGAGCTCTTCCTCACGCCAGGTCTTTCTATTATTTGTCTGGTCTTTTTTTCATGAGAGGTAGCTACTGCCAGTGAAAAGTATGGACATTACAGCATGGTTTTCAAAGCATGCGTTTGATAGCAGCAAAACAAGTGGCTATCCAGGGAAGACTGCCTCCCTGCTCTGTTCTGGTACAAAGCCTGGGGCAGCTCTTGCTGGGGAAGTCTAGCTGTTCTAGGTCTTTGGCTGGAACCCGTTTGGTAGGCATGGCTAATGAACACTGGCCATCACTCAAAGCTCTGACTGGAGGGAGAGGTGCTGCGTGTGCAAGGTGTGCGTGTGGCGTGGTCACTGCTGAGAGATGGTGATGGGGTTGCCTCTGGGAGACTTTGGTTGTGAGGATGTAGAAAGGTTTTCCTGAATGAATGTTAGATGTCAGATCTGGGTGAATTTCTGTGAGTATGTTAAAAGACATTTTGTGTTAATAAAAACACTGATTTTTGGATTCTTGCTCTGGAGCAAAAAAGCCCTGGAAAATCATAAAATGGAGCTCATGCAAAAATCCTCGAGCTAGTAGCCTGTAAGCTGATTCCCCAGCTTGCAAGTCCCTGCGGTGCCATGCTGTGGCATGCATACGTAGCAGCTTGAATCCAGAAGTAATATAGTTATGTTTGTCCAGCACTGCAGCTGAGATAATGAGTTCTGCTGCTCGATAAGGTTTATTAGCTTTGGTGCAGCACCTCATGAACATGGTTGTACTGCTTCCTCACTTGAGCTGCTCTGTGCACAGCTGGGTTGAGGATGTCTGCATTGCGTTCCTCTGGGGCTTTGTGTGACAAAGCAACTTGCATTTATTTGCATCTAGGGTTTTATACAGGCTTTGAAGATTTGGGAAAAAGAATGTATGAAAGAGATTATATAATGTGACTGCTTGTATTGTTAGAGAACTAAAGTTGATAATCCAGGTGATCTTTTCCAATTATGTGTTCCTGCAAGCCTGTAATCATGGAAGGTGCCAAGGTCACAACTGAGACAAGAAAGCCCATTGCAGGTCAAAAAGAGAAGCCATTTCAAATTAAGGTACCGGCTTCAGAAGATGAAGATTCAGGATCAGGATGCTCTGTTCTGTAGGCTGCAGTGATTTTATCTGGTTTTGTGTAAATCAGTTGTATAGCACATTGCCGTCATGTTCAGGAATTCCCTTCTCTGATGAGTCTAAACAAAAGAATTAGGGGGATGTAGGCTTGCCCAGT